TTGTAAAAATAAGCCATAAAAAATTGTATTATAAATTATTCCCAAAAATAAGGTAATTAATACAAATAACCTCAAGAGGAAGAATTTCTTCCTTGCCTCTTCGCTGCATAAACGAGTAAAATCATTAAAACTTTTAATACCATCTTTAAGACAAAAGTCTTGCAAAAAACAGACACCACTCCGAAAATTTAGTCAAATAAAAAGCAGTAGCACATGAAATGTAACTGATTCATAAGTAACAGATCGCTGAACGAAAATGCTACATTTTCAATTTCCACATATCCGCGTATTTGGGTCGTCAGAATAATAGTAGTTTACTCCAGTTTTTCGTCATTTTTAATCACTGCTGAGTGTGGTGGAAAAGGGAGATTCTAACCGATATTGACCGATACATAAAGCTATAAATTTGACATCCATTCTGCTCTGGATTCTCTGAGTGTCTGCTAGTCATAGTGAATAAGGTAATTCTCCTCTGTGCTTTGTTCGGAACTGTAATTCTTTTTATTCAACCTGTTTATGCAAAAATCCATAAAATTTATCCGGTTCTGGAGTACCACAGCAAACTGGTTGACTCTGCATACCGTATTTTTTATGCACTTTTTGCATTGATGCAAAGCAAAAACGCATGTTGCCCAGCGGTTATATGTGTATTGTCTATATGTGCCTGTATTTGTATGTGTCAGCGCATTTCGATCTTAAGAACTATAAAAGTTATAAAGCTGAAACTTTGAAGACTTAGTCTACCAACTACGTACGCGTCCTTGGGCGTAAAATGAACGTTCATATCTTTCTAGTTCTCACAAACAGACAAGTGGAAGATTTTTGGCGTGAAGCGATTTCAGTAACCACGCAGTCTAAGAGACTGGTACCTTGCGAAAACAAATTCAAATTTTTCGGGTCGCAAGTAGGCTGAAACCACATGTGACTCATACAGTTTAAATCTAGCCTTCACGACTAGGTCAAATTTTTGGTACCGTGTCAACACGAGATTTAGGCTTCTTAGAAGATTGCCTAGAGTTGTAATTTGAGTGCGGCACCTTCACGTTCCTTTTATGGGCTCGCATAGATTTCACGTATTAATGCGCGAAATTTGACACAACTTCGCAACCAAAGAAGTTAGAGCGTTGCAGTTACTGAGCATGGAATACTATCATGTTCGGGCAGGCTCACATAAAACGACATTCATTTTTTCTCCTTGTGTAAGAACAAACAAAATTTGACACTGCTTTTCGCAATCAATGCAGCTAGCGTGCTGAAATATTCGGGATGCTATTCTTGATCATGTTTATTGGAAATCTCTGTGACAAATTCCGAGTAAAAACGTTGGTCAGTCCAATTCGTTTACCTAGAGATATCTGCTAGAAAAAATAAGCTGTTCAACGACTAATATGTTCAGAGCGAACTGTGCAAGAAAAGGCATGTTCGCACCGACAAGCCGGTGCGATGGCAACTAGCTTTTCTTTTGTGTTTGATAGCTACAAAACACGATAATAATGCATCAACAAGCAATTTTTACAAACAATTTTTTTATGCATTCAGTTAAAAAGAGATGCGCTGTTCAAGTGCCGTCTAGACATAAGTTTGGTAGAACTAGGGTCATTGAAGGCTAAGCATTCAGAAATGCGATTTAGAGCGTGAACGTGAAGGAGGTGCAGTCACCCACTGCACTGCTAGTGCCTTTCACATGAACTCAGGCGGGACTAGTGTAATTGAAATGATCTAGCAATTTACTACGGATCGGTAGAATGTGATGGTAACATTTTCTGAGGGAACTGTGATAAAACTACTTTAAGTAACATTCAGTATTAAATAAGTGTAATTTCAAGCTTTTCAAGGTTGACATTTCCATGGCAATTGCGCAGAATTGAATAGATAAGAAAGGGAGGGCGAGGAAGAAAAATTCGAGATTCCAAAATTATTATTTCAATATAATACGAGATTAGTCGCCTATCCGCATCTTTTTTGCACTTTGTTTTCCAAATGAAAACGAAAACGATCGAAGAAAAGCAATGAGCTTTCCTACAACAAAATAATGATCATCGGGTTTCGTACAGTAAGCAAATACGAACAGACTAGGTGTACCACAAAAACAATCCACAGTGAAACAAATTCTTGTAGTGATGAGCTTCAAATCACGGGTATGTCACATGAGCGGAGATAGAATGCCTAGCCAGCCACAGCACACTTCTATCGCCATTTCTCTATCTAACATGATTCATTACTTATTTATGCAAACGCCGATGTGAAGGGAAAGGGAGGTGATTATGCGGTGAGGGAGGTACTGGCATAATCCCGAGATTTCAACAGTTAGTTTGAGCCCACAGCCGATGATAAGATGTGCGATTTGGGACTACAACAACATAGAGAAGTTTAGCGGCTGGCCCCATGTTCTCAGCCCTATACTACGTGTCAGAACAAATTATCAAAGCCTAGCATGTAGTAAGTTACTTGTAAGCACTTTGCAGTTACACTATAGCCATTTGTGTCGAATGGAAGTGAAACATGGAATACCACGCTTGAGACAAACAGCTAAATAACGTTGCTGCCATGAAGTAAGCAGTGTTGCTGCGACTATGGCACATAGGACGCACCGAAAGTATGCCTCCAGCCAAGTATGGCTGTTCCAATGTGATTTTTTTTTAAAAAAATTGTTATCAAGGCAATATATTCCAGAGAGCAGAGTTTAATTAGCCATGCAGTAGGGCGAAGCAACATGGGCAAAGTGAACCGCTGCATAATATAAAGGTAGTGAAACACTTGGAAAACTGCAGGCAAAATAAAATCTTTCGTGTTGATGGGGCAAGTTCTAAGGGAACTGGCAGCTGCGTCGATGGCGAAATGGAAAGTCACTACAAAATAGAACTTGGCCGATGCACAAAGAGCGCGGAGAAATCTCAATGCTCATTTTGTTGGCAGCTTCAGCGCATCGAGTTTTAGCAGGTGGCGCATTTGAGGTAGCAAGTAACTGCTGGGACAGTTTCCGAAGGAACTGTGCGTCGTGTGATGACAGCGGTAAGCAGCAATCAACGACAAGTAGCCCAAGGCGTGCACTAGTAGTGACCGTGCTTGGCACGTGGCTGCACTCCAGTAATAGCAGGAGTTCTACACAAGCAATCTTTGTGATCTTGGCAGCTTTGATTGATATGCTGCTGGATAAAAATACAAATATGGCAGAAATGTGAAATTTGTAGCATTTAAAAGAAAACTGCTTCCGACACATTTTAATTTGTGTGATTATTGCAACATAAGGAAAGGAAACACTGGCCTACTCACGGCACGCGTCCTAACTCAACTCTGCATTACAAAAGTCCAGCAAAAGCAGCCGGAATCACTAAATTAAATAATGAAGCAAATCACTAGGTGTGGAAAACTGGATAAGCGACCCATATAAAAAAAAAAATGGGGAATTATTGATCAAAACGAGTAACCACGATTTTAAAACATATGGAAGATCGTGTCAAGGTCAAAACCATCAACTAATCATCCAAAAACCTCATTCTTTTCCTTTCCGTCAAAGTATTGTAATTAAAAAGTGGAATGTCTTTGAAACGAGCGTAGCAAATTTGCATGTCAAGCTTTGACAGTTTAACAATATCAAATGGGCAAGGACGGCTGGATCACCGGAAATCTGTCATTTGCTTTCTCAGCTTTACAAATAAGGTCAACGCTATGTATCATTTCTGTACGATCCTCTTATGGCCAAATAAAACACTAGCATCACAAGAGAAAGGCCTAAATGTGGGCCATATTCCATTGTTGACTAAGGTGAGAAAATAAGTGTAATTTTGATGTATTAACAGGAAAAAAAGATGATCTTACTCATCTTATTAGAAAACAAGAGGATTTGCTACCTTCTTTTTTCAGGAGCACACATGCCTCAAGCACGGCCTGTGACATTACAAAAAGTTTCATCCAGTTTATTCAGTCACTTGTTTATTCATCAGTTTGTTTATTAGCGCCGGCATTTTGAATCAGGTCTGAACGTGTGCCTGATTTTTACTGTCTGCCACCACATGTCGAGAATCATGATCTTTTGTTGTATGGCTCACTTGCGTGTCTGTTTGTAGTTGCGGTACGCTATACGGGTGATCCGGATCCCAGTCAAGTGGTTCGTCTGGTGCAATATTGTGAGCCTGAATTACGAGGTTTTCCTTTAATGAACGCCTTATTAATTAACAAACTAATAGACTGAGCATCATTAGCTGCAAGATGTTGCTATCTGTCGCTGAACGAAGAGCAATGCGCACCATTTTCGCTCCACAAAAGTGTAGCAGTGTTGTATGAACATTAAGCATCAGGATTAATAAGGTGAGCATATGATAAATTTATTTTTGATTTGATTCGTCCATTACGTGCAACTTAAATCTTAGACTATTCTTTGTTCACCGTTTCTCTTGGTAACATACTAGCAGCCATATTTTTGAGAAAGATGCATAGTCATACTCTATTTTACATAAGCTGCTAGGTTCAAGAACTCCACTGTTTTTCCTTTCAAAAACATGAAACTGAGAGAATAGCTTGAGTAATAACGCTCTTTTTTTCACAGCAACTGCTAGTATTTTATGAAGACGGATTGTCGAGAAACTAATATCAGCGGCTGATGGCTCCATGCTTTGTCTGAGCACAGAGTAGGATGATGGGCAGCTAGCACAAAGTCAATTTTCAAAAACATTTGGTTTTCAAAAGAACACTTAAGAGGCAGGGTAAGGTATTTTGGTTTTTGAACTGGATTAAAAATGTCGATGGAATCCACTACTCACTCTGCTGGGTACTGATGCCCACTGCTTATTAACGGGGGCCTATTCACAAGGCCTAAAACAGTCACTTGAAAGACTTTCAAAGCAGTGGCATGTGCTCGTGATAGTGGTGGCAGATAACAGTTAGAGGATTTTTTGACGCTGGGAAGTCCTGGCACAACTGTACTCGTAGTGCGAGCTGCCTCTTTAAAGCTTCGCACTGACAACAATGAGGTGATTAAAACGGGTGAGGCAAAATTCTTTTCATACCCGAGCAGCGTGTCTGAGACATAAGTAAAGATAAGAATAGTCTGGAATACTCGTATAAGCAAGTGTATCAATGTACTGCAGTATTTTTGAAAATTCTCGTTTCGGGCAAAATTTGAGGAATTCGTCCATTTGCTGCGGTTTGCGTACATTGACTTTCCATCTCATTACTGCGTCCCTGTCGTTGCCCTGTTCAAAGTTTTCTTATTTGAATTCTACTGAAGAAGCTATTTCATAAAGTTTTTTTTTTTTTTTTTTTTTTTAATATGGAAGAACTGATTCTTCAGTAATATTTAAAAACAATAACCAGAAGAATTCTTGATCTTCAAAACCTTTGGTGTGCTATGCTGCCTCTGCACTGCTGGCCATTGCTCTAGTCCCAATTACTGATGTCCCTTATGGATGTGTGACAGCTATCTTGATTTTGTTAACTTTTTTTAGTGATTCTTTAGCGTTTCAGCTATCTCGTGAAGGAATCCACTACTGTACTTAAGTGGCCTCCTTACTTTTTGTTAACTTTTATGGGGGAGTCGCGAAGGTAGGCACTTTTTTGCCTCCTAATTTCCAGCCGTTGTGCGCAAATCGGAATTCCAGGCCGGACGAACCAGGCTTGCCGATGCGATCATACATTCTTGCGATAGACCCGGTGAGTTCATCAAAAGCATGACTGATTCGTGCATTACGATTTAATACGTGGACATACGTTGGCTGTGTTTTAGCATTTTATTACGTACAAGCCGGAACGGTAATGTTGCCTTATGGATTTGCATGAACCTACAGTGTGCATGAATATCAGTTTTTATGCGTTTTTGCCTATATGCAAATTGCAAAAACGCATATTGGGACGACCCTATGTGTGTATGTATGTATGTATGTATGTGTGTGTGTGTATGTATGTATGTGTGTGTGTATGTTTGTGTGTGTGTGTGTGTTCGTCTGTCCG